AATTTTATCCCCTTTTTGAGATTTCAGAGTGGAATTTGTCCATTTTATGGGATTTCAGAAAGGGTTGGTCAGTTCAGGTGTGGGGTTGGTCACTGTGGGGTTTTTCAGTTCATCCCCAGATCATTTATGGCTGCTGAGGGACAGAAGYCCTTCCTTTACTTTCTGTRGGGTCCCTCCCACACGAGGCAGTTCTCATGAACCTCTCCAGCGTGGTTCCACTCTCAGGAGCAGCAAATATTTATATAAATAATATAATTTTTATATGTAAATATATATATAAAATATAGGTGATAAAACGTATAAATAATACTAAATTTATATAAAYTTTATATAAAATATTCTACAGAAAAATTAATTTAAATCCAAATTAAAGCTTTCCTGTGAACAAATCACCAAAATCTCATGAACTTGTTCTCAGCTCTCTCCAGGGCATTTTTGGGGTTTTTAGCCAGGACAGACACTCAGGATCCCTTTCCCACCAGCTGTGAACACTGCAAGAACAATTCCCTGTTATTTTCAATATTTTCAAYATTTTCAATATTTTCAATATTTTCTTTTGTGTTTTTTTCCTCAGGAGCAGCAGAGGATCCTGGAGCTGGGGATCACTGGTCCTGAAGGGCACGTGCTGAGCAGACCTGAGGAGGTGAGAGCTCCCTGACCCCAATCTGTGACTCCTTTTGGGGTCAATGGGGCTGGCAATGGGATTTTTCTGCATTTGGGGTTTTGTAGCCACTGGTTTTTCCAGATCTGACCTCCTGGCCTTCTCTCCTGGTGATTATTTTATCAGACTCACAGAGAATTTGCAGAATTTTTTAATAAATGCCCAAATCCTGGCACGAGGGTGACGCTGCTTTTGGGAACATCAAATCATCAGATCCCAATTCCTGGTGATTTTGGGGTTTGCTGTGTCCCTTTGGGGCACTTCAGGGCATTTTCTGTTTCCCTTTAGGGGTTGCAGAGCCCACCCTGAGCACGGCTGGGGTCACACCTTAATTCCAATTTCCATCCACACCAACCCAGCAGATCCCAATTCCTGCTGATTTTGGGGTTTGCTGTGCTCCTTTGGGATGCTGCTGAGATCAGAATTGGTTTTTTTGGGTGTCCTTTAGGGGGTTCAAAGCCCACCCTGAGCATGATTGGGGTCTCACAATTCCCCCTCCATCCTCAGGAACCCAGCAGATCACAGTTCCTGGTGATTTTAGGGTTTGCTGTGTCCCTTTGGGGCACTTCAGGGTTTGCAGTGTTCCTTTTGGGGCACAGCTGAGATCAGGATTGGCATTTTCTGGTGCCCCTTAGGGGTTGCTGAGCCCTGAGCACGGCTGGGGTCAAACCTTAATTCCCATCTCCATCCACAGGAACCCAGCAGATCCCAATTCCTGGTGATTRTAGGGTTTTGATTTTCTCCTTTGGGTGTCAGGGGTGCTGCTGACACTGGGATTGGCTTTTCCTGGTGCTCCTTAGGGGATGCAGAGCCCACCCTGAGCATGGCTTTGTCCTGCTGGTGTCACACAATTCTGATCTCCATCCTCAGGAACCCAGCAGATCCCAATTCCTGGT